CCCTTGACATAGATACAGTGCTATCCTCAAAAGTAAGGAAAGCAGGACAGATTTAAGCAAGCTGTTACACTGTAACCCACTGGCGTTACCACAGGAGCAAACAGAGGCTGTGGTCCTAGGGGTGTGTGGGCGGCTCCTGGCTCTGTTCAGTGAATCCGAGACTTCCCTGGGGAGAGCCAGCCTGGAGCTGGGTCTCGATGGATACATACGTAGATGTGCAGCAAGAAAGGAGAATGTCACACAGCCATGGGAAGGAGCCTGCCATGTTGGTGACAGGCCCAGCAGCTTTCTGTGAGTACCAGGCAAGTGGGAGACAAGGTCGTAATGAGGAATTCATTACGAATTTGATCTTGTAGGGGTGGCAGAGAGAGAATATTTTGAAAGTTTTTGAACAGGGAAGGGATGGTCACATTTGTATTTTAAACAATTACCTATTGACTAAAACGGTAATTAGTTATCGCTACGTGGAGGATTGTAGCTTTTAAAGTTTTGTATGCTTTTCTATATTTTTAAATTTTCTTTAATGAGTACGTATTCTGGTTGTCGTAAATGTTGCCTTCCATCCAGTAGAGTAGAAGATAAACCCGAGGCAAGGAAATCGCTTTGAAGGTGCAGAGAGGTGATGCATTTAGTTTTGCAGGCTTGAAATTTAAAGCTTATTAGTCCTGTTGTCTTCGGTAATTAGATTGTGGGTACCCTTCAAGGCTGGAATTAATATTCACTAGACTTGGTAATAAAATAGCATTCAGCATTATGGTTTTCTCTTTCTGATACAGTCCCAGGATGAGGACAACTCACTTGCCTAACTTTTAATGGACAGATGGGGGCAGCCTTGCTGTTCTTTCTGCCTGAAGATTGACGATCTGTTCACCTCCAACTAACTTTGCTTTGCTCTTTCTTCTGGACATTATAGACTTTGAACACAGCACTGCACAGCGCTCAACAGAACGTCAGTGCTCCTTTTAAAATCTTTAAATGCTGTTGTTCATAGGTTCGTGATCACTCTGAACCTGCACCTGGGTTTGCAGGAGGCTTTCATTAGGGAGAAAAGGAACTGACTTCTTGGGATAATATAAAAATGACTTTCTGTATTTTAGGCATAGAGAAAGAGACAAGCCAGAAGATGGAGGAAGATGGAGCCGCTGTGCCTGTAAGTTTCTGAATGTGGAGGGCTGGAGTGGAGCTCAGGTTCTTTCAGTATTTGTTTTGAAATCCATGTTAATTTGCTAAATAAATTCTAGTTAGTGTTGTTAGGTAATAGAAACAAAATATAAATAAAACACTGTTTCTTCCCTTGAGGAACTCAGTCCATGAAGTGTTCTTTGTAGGAGATACTGGCTAATTCAAAACATTTTTTTTAACTTTTTCTTTTTAAGTAGTTTTAGGTTTGCAAAAATAGGAAAAAGAATTCCTGTATATCCTGATCCATATTCCTCAAATATTAGCATTTTACATAATAACAGGACAATTATGAAAATCACTAATACACTTAAGGCTGATTACTAATATTATTCCACTGGTGTCTTTTTCCGTACATATTGGTGAAGACATGAAATGTATTTTTACTGTGAACCAACGTAAAATGTTTCTGTCATCAGAAACATCATCAACCATCACATGTGTCCTAAGGGCCCTCAGATCTGTTAAAGCCAGCCCAGACTTTTCTTGAGCTCACACTATGACATGCCACAACACATGCACTTAGGTTTACACAACAAGTTGCACAAAACAAGTATCTACCTTTCTTCATGTTATTCACTCTCCTATTTCCTATTCTATTTAAGTTTTGTTTTGTTTTGTTTTTGAGACAGAGTCTTACTGTGTTGCCCTCAGTAGAGTGCTATGACATCACAGCTCACAGCAACCTTAAACTCTTGGGCTTAAGCAATTCTCTTGCCTCAGCCTCCCAAGTAGCTGGGACTACAGGCATACACCACAATGCCTGGCTATTTTTTGGTTGTAGATGTCATTGTTGTTTGGCAGGCCTGGGCTGGGTTCAAACTCAACAGCTCCGGTGTATGTGGCCGGCGCCGTAACTGCTGCGCTACAGGTGCCAAGCCTCTATTTAAGTTTTTTAAGGCAGGTTGCTTAAATGTTTTCATGATGCTGTGACCTTTTAAAAGTAACTGTATTTGAACTTCCTGACATAGCTAATTCCTATTCCCTTAGGACACTGAATAAATGTTGTATAAAGAAATTTCAATATGCAAATTACCAAATAAAGAAACCTATTTATCTAGCATTTACTTTAAGCCTCTCTGTGTGGTCTAAAGTACATTCTTCATGTAGTCTCAGGCACATCGGTAGGTGGGGCGCCAGTGACAAGTATTCTTTCCCTCTCTTTCCCTCCCATTTCCTCTCAATACCACCTTATAGCAGCTTAGCACCTTACAGCATAGTCTTTCATGTTACCATTTCATCTTATCCTCACATCCACTCTGACAAGGTAGATGGGTACTGCTCCTTTTATGGATGAAAACGTTGAGAATCAAGAATTTTAAACTGGGCAGTGCCCATAGCTCAGTGGGTAGGGTGCCGGACACATACACCAAGGCTATTGGGTTCAAACCCAGGCCAGGCCAGCTAAGAAACAAGGTGCAACAAAAAAGAAAATAGCCAGGCGTTGGGACGGGTGCCTGTCATCCCAGCTACTTGGGTGGCTGAGGCAAGAGAATTTCTTAAGCCCAAGAGTGTGAGGTTGCTGTGAGCTATTTTTTTGAGACAAAAAAATTTGAGACAGTGTTGCCCTTGGTAGAGTGCTGTGGCATCACAGCTCACAGCAACCTCAAATGCTTGGGCTTAAGTGATTCTTTTGCCTCAGCCTCCCTTAATGAGACTTTTTAATCATTTTTCACCGTTTGGCCTGCAGCATTTTTTACTTTGGAGTGAATTCATTATTTTTTACGACATCTTACACTTCTTGAAAGTTGAGTTCATTTGGCTTTCCAAGTATTAGAATGGCAGGGACTGGTGCCATTCCAGTGGGTTCAGGGGCAAATGAGAGGGTGTACCCACTTAGCACTGATAGATTAGTGATACTAATTCTCCTGCTTCAAGGACACAAACAGAGACAATTACTTTGGAATATCTGTGCTCACCGTAAATTTGCAGTCAGGAATGCAGTGAGTTCTTTCGCCTACAGTCTGTTTTGGTCCTCAGTTGTGACTGTTTTGAGGGATTGAGCTAAAGACCAGGGGACATGAAATGGGATCCTTTTGGAAGGATATGATTGATTGATTGATTTAGCATCTCTATCAAAGATGTTCTAGATTGCCCAGCCCTGAGAGAGATCACCTGGCCAGTTCTTTGTGATGGTCAATTGTGTAGACATTCTGCACTGTTTGATAAGCAATACAGAGGACCAAGGAATATAAAACAGTTAAGTAAGTACTAGGAGGTAGGAAAAGGTGGCTAAAATGGGACATGGCACAAATCCCTGGCCTGATGCCTCATGCCCATAAAAGCTGCTGCATTATAAGTGGTGAGACTTGTGGCATGTGGCCAGGCAGAGGGGAGTGGCCAGTGGGCAGCCAGCAGGCCAGAGAGCCCACGCACCTGGGTCCATCTAGCACCATCCAAAGTCTTGTCTCCCACCTCCGGCTCAAACTGTGGCCTCTTCTGGACACCACATTTGTTAGTATTAGGCTGGGTGCAGTGGCTCACACCAGTAGTCCTAACACTCTGGGAGGCCGAGGCAGGTGGATGGCCCAAGCTCAGGAGTTTGAGACCAGCCTGAGCAAGAGTGAGACCCCCATCTCTAAAAATAAAACATAGCCAGCAGTTGTAGTTCCAGCTACTCAAGAGGCTGAAGTAAAAGGATCACTTATGCCAGTGGTTCTCAACCTGTGGGGGCAACCCCTTTGTAACAATGAAAATACATCACAGCATTAGGGAGGTTGAGAACCACTGATTTACGCCCAAGAATTTGAGGTTGTTGTAAGCTATCATACCATGGCACTCAACCCTAGGGTGACTCAGTCTCAAAAAACAAACAAAAAGCAGAGAGAGGAAAGGAGGGAGGGGGATGGGAGGTCATGGTGCATGACGCATCTTTTGGGGGCAGGACACAATTAATAAGAGGGACTTTACCTAACAAACTGAATCATTGTAACCTGGTTCTTTGTACCCTCAATGAATGAATCCCCAACAATTAAAAACACACACACATTTGTTAGTATTGTTTTCTTTTTCTTTTCTTTTTTTGAGATAGAATCTCACTTTCACCCTTAGTACAGTCCTGTAGTGTCATAGCTCCCAGCAACCTCAAACTCTTGGGCTCAAGTGATTCTCTTGCCTCAGCCTCCCAAGTAGCTGGGACTAGAGGTGCCCACCACAATGCCCAGCTATTTTTTAGAGATGAGGTCTTACTCTTGCCCAGGCTGTTCTTAAACTCCTTATCTCAAGCATTCCACCCACCTTGGCCTCCCAAAGTGCCAGGATTACAGATATGAGCCACCATACCTGGCCTACTATTAAGTTTTAAACAAGTACGCAAACTAAATTTATTTATCCCCTTAACAAATGAATGCTAAACTTTATAATAGATGTTGATGTTTTTGTTATTAAGAAGATTGGGGGGGGAGGCTTATTTCCCAAATTCTACTCACATGATGACCATGGGAAGCACTGAGAGGCTGTTTCCTACCATTGACTCATCTCTGGGACTGTGGCTTAAAATAACTCAACAAAAGACTGAAATGCATGAATTTAGAATCAGAAACACAACAGCAAGGTGAATCAAATGTCATCTTCACCTAGTGCATCATTTTCCTTGAGGCACGTTGCAGTTTCTTGATAAGAAAGCGTGGGAAGTTAATGAGATTCAGACATGCAGGGGTATGTCAGCTTCCTACTACTAGGTAGCAAGTTACTCTGTACCCAAACACCAAATGCTTATTCTCTCATTGATTCTGAGGGTCAGAGATGCTGGGGCGGCCTTGCTTGCTGTCCCAGCCCAGTGTCTCTTGCAGGCCGAGATCAAGTATCAAGCAGGGCTCCTGTCCTCTCTAGTCTGACTTGGGATGGATCTACTCCCAACTTCCAAGGCTGTCAGTGGACCTTAGGCCCTCACTGGCTGCTGGCAGAGACATCCTTGCCACATGGGCCTTTCCATGTGCTTCTCATAGAAGCCAGAGTTTTTTCATGCCCTAACCTCAGGAATGACATCCTGTGACTTGTGCCATCTAGTGATTCACTGGATCCACACTCAAGCCACTGGGGGCTGTTTTAGAGGCTGCCCAGCACAAGAACCTTCTGGTTCTAGTGACCTGTCCCAAGACAGGTTCTGGGGGGACCTTTGACTTGTGTCTGCAGGGTAGGCTGCCTTCCCCTGACATGCTCCTGGGCACTGCCAGCTTGTGGCTTTTGTGTGTCCTTTTTTTTTTTTTTTTTTTGAGACAGAGCCTCAAGCTGTCCCCCTGGGTAGAGTGCTGTGGCATCACAGCTCACAGCAACCTCCAATTCCTGGGCTCAAGCGAGTCTCCTGCCTCAGCCTCCCAAGTAGCTGGGACCACAGGTGCCCGCCACAACACCTGGCTATTTTTTGGTTGCAGCCGTCATTGTTGTTTTGGTGGGCCCAGGCTGGATTCGAACCTGCCACCTTAGGTGTATGTGGCTGGCGCCTTAGCCACTTGAGCCACAGGTGCCGAGCCTGTGTGTCCTTTTTCTGTGACCTAAGATGGCTTTCTATATTGGGCCCAGGGCTGAGGTCTGTGAAGGTGTATTCTGAAATTATATGTTTGTTTCTGAGCATTTTCTAGAGAGAGGGTGAGGATTTAATGACCCTGAAAAGTTTAAAAGCCATTGTATTAAGTTGATCTGGGACTTCCTAATCAGTCTTTGTTTAAACAAGATGCTAGACAACTAATTATAATCAGTAGTTAATTGATCGGTTATACTCACATTTAAGATTATTAAATTTGGCTCAGCACCCATAGCACAGTGGTTATGGCACCAGCCACTTACACCAAGGCTAGCAGGTTTGAACCTGGCCGGGATCAGCTGAATGACAATGACAGTTGCAACAACAACAACAAAAAAAATAGCTGGGCCTTGTGGCAGGCACCTATAGTCCCAGATACTTGGGAGGCTGAGGCAAGAGAATCACTTAAGCCCAAGAATTAGAGGGTGCTGGACGCCATGGCACTCTACCAAGGGTGACATAGTGAGACTCTGTCTCAAAAAAACAACAACAACAACAAAAAAACATTATGCCCAGGTCATGAAATTTGCTGGTGTTTTGAATGTTCCCAAACTTCTAGATCACTCATCTATACAGAAACTTTACTTCTCATTTGTGGCAAGAAATGGCCACCAAAACCACCTTTTAGAAAGCAAAGTAGTATGGAAGTCCATGTTTGTTTTGCAAAACAAAATGCTCGCTGCATACGGACCTCTCCAGCCTGAGTCATGATAGAAACGAGCCTTCTCATCAGAAGATGAAGTTCTGCAAGATGGAGCAGAAAACTTCGTAGCAAGGAAGACCCCCCCCGCAACAGGCTTGGGTCTTGTGCCTTATGTAGCTATGTTGTGTATAGGCAAACACAGGTGTCCACCTGGTAATAGCAGAGCTCTGTGCAACGCGGTTAAGTTAATGATCTGGAATCATCCAGCTGGAAGGCAAGGGTCAAAAGTCAGCTATAGCTGCCATTTCCACCTCCTTAAGCCTGAAAGCTAGTAGTACATTTTAGAAACATTTTAACAAAGTAGCTAAAGAGGCTCGGCACCTGTGGCTCAAGCAGCTAAGGTGCCAGCCACATACACCTGAGCTGGCGGGTTCGAATCCAGCCTGGGCCTGCCAAACAAAATGACAATTGCAACCAAAAATTAGCTGGGTGTTGTGGCAGGCGCCTGTGGTCCCAGCTGTTTGGGAGGCGGAGGCAGGAGAATCACTTGAGCCCAGGAGTTGGAGGTTGCTGTGAGCTGTGATGTCACAGCACTTTACCTAGGGGGACAGCTTGAGGCTCTGTCTCAAAACAAAAAGTAGCTAAAGACACAGATGTATATAAAAGGAATAGCTCTGTCATTTTTTTTTTTTCTGAAAGTACCATTTACATGAGACTTTAATCCTGGTGTTTTTCTGTGATTCTTTGGTGACCACAATGATCAGGGAACTTTCTTACTTTTAGATAAGAAGAAAATTTCTCCAGGTTGTCTGTTCAACAGAATCTAAGACCGCCCTGATGTGCATTAATTATAACAGACTTCTTTAAATAGTACTGTAATAGATGTGTGTGTGTGTTTCTTTTTATAAAGCTCATCCCTGCTGGCTTGGAGCCCATAGCACAGTGGTTATGGCACCAGCCACATACATGGAGGTTGAGGGGTTCGAACCAGCCCAGGCCAGCTGAACAACAATGACAACTACAACAAAAAAATAGCTGGGCACTGTGGCAGGCGCCTGTAGTCCCAGCTACTTGGGATGCTGAGGCAAGAGAATCGCTTAAGCCCAAGAGTGTGAGCTGTAACGCCATGGCACTCTGCTGGCGGCAACATAGTGACTCAAAAAAAAAACCGCCCCTGCTATTTTTTTCTTCAAACATATTTTGAATGGATGTGATCAATGTAATACTGTGGAAGTTATTGAAAGGTAGTTGAGGTTAAAAAGCTAAGGACTGACACATTGAATGTACCTCTTCTCCCATAGGGACTACTGGAATCCTCTGCAGAGAAAGCCCCCGTGTCATTGTCCTGCGGTGGCGAGAGCCCCCTGGATGGGATCTGCCTGAGCGAATCCGATAAAACAGCTGTGCTTGCCTTGATCAGAGAGGAGGTGAGGCTTCCCTTGTTCAGTCTGCTTGTCAGTTCATTTCTTTGTAAGGCCCGTGTGCCAACAGGTAGATGACATCTCTGTTGGCGTGAGTTATCCCAGACTGGAAGATCTTATTTCCTACAGCTTGTTTAGCTCAGATAAAGGGCTCCCTATAAAGCTCAGCATTGGTTCTGGAGCCCTGACATTCTCATGTCCAGGGGAAAAGAGTTGACAATCTCAAATATCCTAAAGGAATTTTGTACCCTTCTTTATCTTTCAGTCTCAACATTTTAAATGTCTAATTTTGCCAACTCTGCTGACATGTAACTAAGCCCGTGCTTTTATTTTATAGAGGATATGTGCTTATGCCTAATTTTTTTTAATTCTTTGCAGTAATATAGTTGTTTCTTCCCTTTATCCATTTTTTAATTAAACAGTTTAATTCTCAAGTTCCCGTATTGTGTTTTTTAAACAGCCTCTGCTCAAAATAGATACCTGCAAGGCCTTTCCTGGGTGATCAGAAAACCTTGAAATGCAGTGTTGTGTGCTACATGGCATGGACTGTGCTGTCACCACCCTCTTCTGTTATAGTTCTGTGTTGTATTTTACGTATTTGGTTTGTGAGTTTATTAATAAGTCCACCTTTTTTTTTTAGATAATGTCACAATTTTATTTTCACAATATGATGAGAGTGGTTAAGCACCTTGGCTCTTTCAAAGCTTTATAAAATAGCATCCAGTTGGATGTCAGCTAGTCCTATTGTCAAAACTTGGAGCAGTGGTAAGGAGGCCTACAAAAATCTTATAAATGAGAATAATGTCTTCATCTACCCCCTGAGCATTAAACTGAGAGGAAATAGGTCAAGGCAAAGATGCTCCTAGTTACCTGAAGCAGACAGAATATGTCTAGGTTCTTGAGATCCTAGGCACCAAGTTAAAGAATATACCAGTTAGGAGTGGAGAGGCCCCACTGATGAAGTATAGTGAAAAGGAGAGGAGTGCATGCCCATCTGCCCTGTCCAGGGCAAGCGGAATTTGAGGTAATGAATTTAGAGTATTTCTCTTCAGTTAACAAGGACATCCCAAATACAGGGATGGTTCTGGTCTGATTGGAAAGATTCTGCCTGATGGATCCAGCTGAGGGCATTGTACTTCAGCGCCTCCTGATTCTGACTGTGTTCTTATCAAACAATAAAAATGCCTATGGAAAGGAGATGCCACTCACACCGACTTGGAATGCTCTGGTTTATGGGAGTTTCTCATCCTAAATAATACTGGTGGTCTGGCCTTGACTGGAATTGTATGACTCCCTCCCTGGCAGTCAGGTGGCTGTGCCCTTAGTGTCCTCTCCCAGTCCTTACCCTGCAGAGCTGAGAACCAGACCGTGGACCGAGGTGAAAGCCACAGACCGAGGCTGTAGATTCCACTTGCGGCAGGTTCTGCTCACCTTTCCCCCAGTGGCTGCGTCCCAGCATCCTGTGTGGCTCTGGCTCTGAGTGTACTTTTCTAAATATTTTTGACCATTATATGTAGATGTTGAGGTATTTATATTCCTAATGTAGATTGGGTTAGACCTGGTTGTGTGCTGTTTTCCATCTGCAGTCTTAAATTCAAACTATAATAGATTGATTAGGTAAAACCAAGCTCTGTTATACTCTAGATCATCACTAAAGAGATTGAAGCAAATGAATGGAAGAAAAAGTACGAAGAGACGCGACAAGAAGTCTTGGAGATGAGGTTAGACTGAGGTGTGGGGGAGGCTGAGGTGCTCTGCATTGTTAGATTGAACACAGACGAAGTGATCAAAGTGTGTGTTCACCACAGAACCGGTTGCTGAGAATGAGAGGGCTTTGCTGTTGGCACCTTACTTTATGTTTGAAAATGTCATTCCTTGAGTTACTACTGACTCATTTTTATAGTAAAATACTATAACTGATCTTGGGTTGTTCAGATCATTATATACAAGCAGAACCCTCCTAATTCTGGTCTTCTTAAAAGAATGAACAGAATGCCATGAAGGCTATGTTAACTAGTTTAATAAAAATATTTCAAATTGTATATAAAACCAGCACATTGTACCCATGACTGCATTAATGTACACAGGTATGATTTAATAATAAAAAAAAAGAATTAACAGAAATTTATATAAAAATACCCTTTGGAATACAGAGTAATAAGACTTACTGATATATTCAGTGATGAAGGCATTGAAATTCATAATACCTTTTAAATATTAATTACACATAGTAGCTTCAAATTACATAACCATCAAATAGATGATTAAAAAGCTTGTTGGCTTGGCGCCTGTGGTTCAGTGGTTAGGGCATCGGCTACATGCAGTGGCGGGTTAAAATCTGGCCTGGGCCTGCTGAACAACAATAACAAAAAATAGCCAGCCACTGTGGCAGGCCTCTGTAGTCCCAGCTACTCTGGAGGCTGAGGCAAGAGGATTGATTGAGCCCAAGAGTTTGAGGTTGCTGTGAGCTACCATGGCCCTCTACTCAGGGTGACTGAGTGAGACTCTGTCTCAAAAAACAAAGAAACAAAGCTTGTTAACAGTAAACAAAACTATTGACTATTTTATTTTGAGACAGAGTGTCACTTTGTCACCTTCAGTAGAGTGCTATGGTGTCACGTCTCACAGCAACCTCAAACTTTTGGCCTCAAGGGATCCTCTTGCCTCAGCCTCCTGAGTAGCTAGGACTACAGGTACCCTCCACAACACCTGGCTGTTTTTAGAGACAGGATCTCACTCTGACTCAGGCTGGTCTCGAACCCGTGAGCTCAGGCCATCCACCCACCTCAGCCTCCCAAAGTGCTGCATCTGCAGGTGTGATCCACTGAGCCTGGCCTCTGATTGACTTTAAGTTGAAATCTTTTTATTTTTCCTACTTCCTAGAAAGGAGAGTTACAAAAGATGGCATTACAGAAGAGGAGAAAAAGAAGCTTAGATAACTCAGACACTTTCCAGTCAGCACTTGAATGATTAAGAAACATTTTAGGCTCGGCGCCTATAGCTCAACCGGCTAAGGCGCCAGCCACGTACACCTAAGGTGGCGGGTTCGAATC